GGAGCCTGCAGCGCATAGGGCCCCCATCCCAAGCGCACCCCCTGCGGCGTCGAGGAAATGCCACGCCTGCCACGCCCTTGGAGCCTGCAGCGCATAGGGCCCCCACCCCAAGCGCGCCCACTGCGGCGTCGAGAAAATGCCACGCCTACCACGCCCTGGGAGTCTGCAGCGCATACGGCCCCCACCCCCAGCGCACCCCCTGTGGCGTCGAGGAAATGCCACGCTTTGGGAGCCTGCAGCGCGTAGGGCCCCCACCCCAAGCGCACCCCCTGTGGCGTCGAAGCGATGCCACGCCTGCCACGCCCTGAGAGCCTGCAGCGCAGAGGCCCCCCCACCCCCAACGCACCCCCTGTGGCGTCGAGGAAATGCCACGCCTGCCACGCCTTGGGTGCCTGCAACGCACACTGCCCCCACCCTCAGCGCACCCCCTGTGGCGTCGAGGAAATGCCACGCCTGCCACGCCCTTGGGGCCTGCAGCGCATAGGGCCCCCACCTGCAGCGCACCCCTGTGGCTACCCCTGCGCACCCTCTCTGGTGTCGAGAAAGTACCACACCTGTCACCTGTTCCGACCCTGGCACGCATAGAGACCGCGCTGAGGGACCACCCCCTGCGCACCGTCTCTGGTGTCGAGAAAGTGCCACCCCTGCGCTGCTGAGCTGTGCTGAGCTGTGCTGAGCTGTGCTGAGCTGTGCTGTGCTGAGCTGTGCTGTGCTGAGCTGTGCTGTGCTGTGCTGTGTTGTGCTGTGCTAAGCGTCGGGCTGCAGGTCGCGCAGAAACGCCTGTGCTTTGCTGAGCTGCGCTGAGCTGTGCTGTGCTGAGCTGAGCGGAGCTGAGCTGTGCTAAGCTGTGCTGTGCTGAGCTGAGCTGAACAGTGCTGTCAGGAGGAGGGGAAGAGGGAGGTGAGTGAGCGCGGGTGAGACGCGGCAGAGAAGAAAACCAGAACCCCACGAAGAATGTGGGGAAATGGTCAAAACATAGTTCGGGGACGATGTTTCTACTATGTGTGGCTACTTTAAATATCTTGGACTAGTTCTTATTTTTCGTCCACAATCCGACTGGGTGGGGGCACGCCCGACCTAATCACATCCCCAGAGTTCCTTCAGCGTGACTTACTAGCGGGTCACCGCCAGGCACCTGATCGGGGAAGTAAATTCATGCATCGGCGTGGTTTTTTCCGAGTTGATCGGGCCCCGAAGGAGCCAACCTCTTTGCGAAAGGGCGCGTAGAGCATCACTGCTCGCGCGCCCCCCAAGGGCGACGCGGGCGTTGCTTTCGCTTCCTTTGGAAGATGTGCGAGGCGCTACTTCCAACGGCCAGTGCAGCACACCCTTTCGCCAGCATGTACAATCCGCAACGGATGTCCTACAGGGGTTTTCCGCTGGTGGCTGACCACGTCGGTGCTTGGATTCCCGTCGCCTTTGATAGGCCGGATATATGCACCGATGCTGCTTGGGGGGCTTTCTGTGGACAGGGCGGCGGGGCTACCCGAGTCTGGCGGAGCTGTTGCCCCCCGTGTACCCGGTGCGCGCGGTTTACGTAGGCGCGCCCCAATCGCACTGGCAGGGCGCCGAGGGTGCTGGGGGCCGCTAGTTTCATATTGCGAAGGCCTTCCGTCGGCGCCGCCGACCCTGAAGTGGGACGGCGAAAACGACAACGACCACGCCGACGACAACGACGACGACGACGACGCTCGCGAGCCCTCGTGGGGGCTCTTGTGGGCCCTGCTTGTCTCGGGACCCCCCCCTCGGACCTCGCCCCCCCCTCGGATAACCCCCGGCGGTGGCAGGGCGCCAGGGTTGCTGAGGGCCGCTGGTTTTATTGCGAAGGCCTTACGGCCGATGCCGCCGACCCTGTAGGCAGCGAGGACGAAGACAATGGAGGTAGAGAAGTCCAAGATGCCCTCAGATTGCTCGAAGACGGCGCCAGATGCCTGCAAGGTCGTCCGAAGACAGCTCAAGAGGCCTCTTCCAGGGTTCGGGAACGGCTCCAGAGAGTGCCAAGATAGGCAAAGAGCGCCCTCAAGTGGCCCGAGAGGGTTCCAAGACGGCGTCAAGCGAGGTCCAAGAGCGCCCGCAGAGGCTGTCAAGAGTGCCGCCAGAGGCTGCCAAGAGAGTTTAAACATGGCGAAAGGTCTCCAAGGAGCCTTCAGATAGGCTGAAAGGGCCCGCAGACGGCCCCGGAGGGCCAACGGAGCCCCAGGACGCAGGAGGATGAGAGGCGGGGGGCTGCGTATCCGAGGGGGGACCCCCCCCCCCCAGGAGTCGCCCCGCGGGACCCCCCGCCCGGGAGTCGCCGCGCCCCCCCCCCCCCCCCCCCCGGCAGGGAAGGGATCAAGGGAAGGGGCTTCCATTCGACTGAAGGACGACGTTGTTCAATTTTTGTGTGGACTTCTGGAGGGAGCCCTCGGGAAGCAGAAGAGGCGACGACGCTGTGGAGAAGACGGAAAAGCCTCTCCTACACGCCAACAGGGTCGGCTGATTTTTCATAGCCTCCCTACGTACAGTGGAAGCCCATGCCAAGAAATTCCGTGCTTGCCTCCAGGGTGCCCTTGGTTTCTTGGGTTTCGATTGTTTTGCTATGGTAACTGTGACGCTGTCGAGCTCCTGCTGTATGATGTTTCTGGTTCTGACGGAATTGCCTGACGCGGTGGAGCTCCCTCCGACCATGTCCGTGGATGCCTGAATTGGCTCAGCTGGGGCGCTCGGCGAGGTCTGCAGGGCGACCAGCTCGGAACGGTCCACTGGCGCGAAGTCGACAGTTGGTGTTTTGTTCCACCAGTGGTTTGCGAGGTGGAGGTATGGAGTCCAACAAATTGGCTGGAGCAAGTGGAATCTGGGGATCGCACCGCATTGCCAATGCGTCGGCTATGCGGCGTGATCCATGGTCCGATTTCTCCATCCTTGCGTTGCCTCGCCGATGCGTAGGCGATCTCCTCACTACACATATGTTGGACCCCTTGGACGATCGACATGGCACAGAACGAACGAACGGGGACGAAGACCAATAGCAGTCCCTTCCTAGTTGAGATGGACTGACAGTCGGTGCAGCCCCGGACGTTAACGATCCACTTGAGAACAAGTTGACAACATTGTCTGTCCGGCATCGTACCATTTTTCTACGCTCCCAGTACCAGACACCTGACGCCATGATTTGTTCAGTGCGCGGCCCCAGGGGTCCCAGGAGTAGCTTTGCGTTCTGGACGTTCCGGGGGCGCGACAGGGGGCCCCAGAGGCCGAAATCGAAGAAGAGCGCTCGGAATAAAAAGATCTTGCCGTCGGAGACCAGGGCTTCGGGCGCCCAAAGGCAGAGACCTCGGGAGGCTTGCCTGGGCCTGGCGCCCTGGCGCCTCCCACCCCGTTTCCCTCGACCTGCACCTCCCGCCACCCTCAGCGACCGCCGCGGCCGCCGACGCGGCCGCAGCGGCAGCCACCGTCGAGTCCGCGGCGGCGGCCGCCGCGCCGGCGGCCGCCGCGCCGCATCCCGGCGGCGCTTTCCGCGCGGCAGGTGCGGAGGGTGCAGGTCGAGGGGGCCAAGGCGTGCCAGGGAGTGGGGGACACTGCAGGGAGGCGGGCCCCTCCCGGACCTCTGGCGCTCCAATGTTTGTTCCATGCGTGGGCCTCTTCGGGGGGTCTGGACCCTTTCCCTGGGATGCTGCTTCTCTGTAAACTCCGGCAAAATCACTTGCAGGGCATTTCCCTTTCCCCCCCCCCGCCCCCTTTGCCAATGGCGCCGGTCCGAAAAGGCGTGCAAGTGATCAAGTCCCGATTTGCCTGAAGTCCAGATTTCCTTCCGGGCAGCCCAAGACCGGCGCCCCAATGTGTGTTTCTGCACGAACGAGATGGGCACGGAAAGAATGGGTACCATGCCCAACAGCAGTTCCTGTTCATTTTGAACAGGACTCGCTGTCCGCGCCGCCGCGGCCTGTGTCCATTCGAGACAGGAGGCCGCCTGCCCAACAGCGGCCGCTGTTGGTTTGGGACAACATTCGTTGTTGGGCATCGTACCCATTTTTTCGGTACCCATGTCGGGCGTCCAAAAATGTGTGTGTTGCAGCCTCGGGTCTTTTGGGGGGAGGCGGGCCCCGTGACTAGTAACTTTCGCCAAAAGCGCCAAAAATACTCCTCCTCCCTCCTCCTCCTCCTCCCCCCTCCTCCTCCTCCTCGTCCTTCCTCCTCCTTTTCCTCCTCCTCCTCCTTTTTGTTCCCTCCTCCTTCCCCTCCTCCTCCTCCTCCCCCGTGGCCCGGCGCCACGGCGCGTCGGCGGCTCTGACCTCGGAGGCCCCCACGAGCCTCTGCGGGCGAGCTGCCCCGGCCCTTGGCTTCGGGAGGGCCGCGTGGCGCAGTGCGCCCCGCGCCCCCGGGGCGGGGAGGGACAGGGAGGCAAGACATCAGAGCGTGAATTACCTACCCCGCTTTCGCTTCCGGAGGAGGGGGAGGAGGAGGAGGAGGAGAAGAAGAAGGAGGAGGAGGAGGAAAAGGAAAAGGAGGAGGGGAGGGACAGGGAGGCAAGACAAGGATCGGGAGCGGAAAAGAGGGGGGGGATGACTAGGGGGGGGCGGATATCATGGCGGGGGCCATGATATTTCCCCAGATTTCGTGGCGCCTCTTCTTATTTCATGACGTCCCTGGCCCCCCCGCTGGGCCGCGCACATGCCGACGGTCATGATTTGCACCCCCCCCCCCTCTTGGACACCCCCCTCTTGGCCGCTCCCGAGGAGGAGCGGGGCAGGGAAGGAGGGACACCCCGAGATCCGACGCTGCGACAACATTGCAGCATCGCGACAGGTCACGACTAGAGCCCCAGACCCCATCTCTTGGCGTCACTCCTCGAACGGGATCGACCCGTGCGGGCCCCAGGGCCCGAAACCCGGCGAGAACGCCTGCTGCATCAACATAGGAGAAAACGAAGCCCTGATCTCATGGGCGGTTCGCGCGGAACGCGCGGGATGGGGGGCAGCAGCGGCCATCGCAGCGGCACTCCGATGCGCCCCGCCTGGCAGGACTCGTCGGACGACGACAGCTCGGACTCCAGCCCGGACAGCGGCGCGGAGCAGCCACGCGCCGCACGCACCGCCCAGGTGCCGCTCTGGCGCGGCGGCGACAGGAGCGCTGGGAGGGTCGGCGGGGGCAGCGTGAGGGGGGGGGGGCCTCCCCCTGCGCCGACGCTGTTGGAGGGGGGGCCCCCAAGAGTGAGAGCGCAGGAGGAGTTGCAGCCAGGGGGGTAGCTGAGGCCGGCCACGAGTCCCATCGGATGGGATGGTGGGGAGCCGTTTTCCCTCGCGTTTCTGCCAGGAGTGTGGCCGATCTGCGACAGTGGGTTTCAGACACCTCCGCAAGCCCTGTCCTGGTAGCGCGCCCAAGGGCCACGAGAACCTGGCCAGGATCGGCAAGGGACTATCCAAGACGGGAAGGGCCCCCCAGAGCCATCTGTGAGGCTGTGCGCCAAAAAGAGGTGCATGAGGCAATTCAGACATTTCAAAACAATTAAGAGCTGTTGGGCGTGGAGGGTTTTTCCCCCCGCGGCCCTGGGGAGGGGTCAGGCTCCGGGGAGCCTGCTTTTCCAGAGGACGCCAGCAGCAGCGCTTTTGACAGAGAGCATCGGGCTGTGCCTCAGGACCCAGAGGAGGAGGCGGCCGGATCGTCCCTATAGTTTGGAGTTGCCCAGCAGCGTCGATCGCTGGCGTCAGCTCTCGGTCGGGTCTTCTCAGGCTGTGAGTTCGCGATGGAACCGCTTTTGTTTGAATCTTCGGCTAGAATCCTCCTCCTCCTCCTCCTCCTCCGCCTCCTCCCCATCCTCGTCCTCCTCCTCCGCCGTGATACACCACTTTGGCTCAAGGTACCCGCTTCCCCAGGGGGTGAGATGGACGCCGCTGATCCTGGGCACGACCTCGGTTCTTGGCGACTGGTGGGGCGCGGCGTTCCTTCCACTTCGGCAACGAGGTAGGTAAAGTGACGCACTTCCAGTCCCTGCTGCCGTATCTGCCGCCAGCCGCATGCCAGATATTCCGGCCGAGCGCAAGGAGAAGGCAGCCAAGGCCAGCAGTGGCGTTCCTGGTGTTCCTGCCTCTCTTTGTCCTGGTCGTACTCTTCCCCAAGATGGCTCGCAACAGCGTTAACATGATTGATCCAGGTCTGGTCGTTCCGCTTCCGAAGACAGCGACGGCTGCATGGACCCGGGCTCTTGGGACGCGTACATCACATGACGCATTGGTGAAAGGCTGTCCCAAAGCTCACGGAGTTCAACGTCGAGTTGGGTGAATTCGTGGCGGGATACGCCAAGACAGTTTCTGACAGCGCAATCCCTCCTGCCATTGCAGCGATGAAGGTCTCGGACGCCGCTTGTTCAACAAGTGTTTGATGCATGCAAAAAACGATGTGACGGAATCGATCAGGCCCGACATCTATTCCATCAGTTGTCACTTCCATGTTCAGACCGACGTCATCGCATCGACAGTTGGCCCAGTGGACAACAAGACGACGGATTTCGCGAGGCAGATTGACGACATGCTTGTGTCGATGCATGAGATGCGCAACGATCTCGCAATGACAAGTTGGGCCCCACCACCGCCACGAGTGGATTCGATTTCATTCAAGAGATACGCCGCTGAGGCCATCTTCAAGGTCGCGTCTCCTACTATGGCGCGCAGACTTGACGTCGTCGCATCGATCGAGGCGTGGCTCAAGGCTGCCGACAGCTCCGACGGTTTCACTACTGGCGGCGAGGACATGGCCAACACATTCTCGTTTCAGTTCACTGGTGCATGCGGTGCTGCTGGCCAAAAAATAGAAATCCATTTCAGCTCTGCGCCTTCCTCGCAAAAGGCCCCCTGTCCATGCAGCACCAGGTGGCTCCACTCAGCTCCACGTTTGCCCCGACCAGAGTTCACATCATATTGAAATTGAGGTTGCAGGCGATAAGATTACGAACGATTTGCGCCGGCCTTTCTCGGGTCACATTTTTTCGAGGCAAACATAATGGTTGGACTTCAGAGAGCTGGACTTCCATCCTTCGTTAGGAGACTCAGCCAGGTCGGGGCCCCGCGCATATCTTGGGGGCATGACGCTGCCCTCGCGCAGCGGGGGCGGTCTAGAGAAGGGCCCCCCCGCATCTCCACGCAGCCATTGCGCCATCAGCTGCGCCCGAGTGGGCCCCGTAGCATGTACGACGGCATTTGCACACACAGAGTTGGAGACAGCCCTTCCTCCCGCGCCAGCCCCGATCCCCCCCGCCGCTTGGAATGCGCGCTTTTCTTCGGTAGCGCGTTCAACCGGCAGCGTCGACAGTAGAGCGCCATCACGTGATTGGCATCACGAACGCCATCTTCGCGATTCAAGACGCCCATCAGAACATCGACGAGCTCAGATTCTCCATGACAAGAGTTGCGCCAGGTTCGCGTGTGCATGGTTCACTTGAAGAGGTCAGGGGGGGCCGTAATCGTGGCGACCTTGCTACGGTGGCTCCTGTTCATGATCCGGCTTGCCTCCCGCCCCCTGCGACTATTTTGATTTCTGGGAGAGCGCTGTTTGTTTCCCCGAGGCGCCCAGGCTGCGGTCGGAAGTTCATCGCCCATAGTTCTGGGTTGTCGCTCGGGCAGATCCACGGAGCACGAAAGGACATCCAGGGGGGCCTGCGATGGGCCCAAGGCGACCATCGTCCCAGACCGGCGGTTCGCGGCGAGGCCAACCTCGGATGGCGACCAGCTCTGCTTGGCCAAATCTGAGCAAGCCCCCCCAGTCAAGTCTGCGAATGCGGCATCGTTGGAACCGACGCTACGCCACATGCTCGAACTTGCCCCCGAACGCCACACACATGATTGCAGCGATGCCAAAGGATCCGCCTAGATCGCATCTGGTTATCTGGGCCGAACAAGACGTCGCGCTAGCTCCCCCACTCCGTCGCGGCCATCGACGACCCCGAGCATATCCGAGATGAGAGTATCAGATCACGCGCGCGGTCGCCTAGCGTCGTTCGATGGCGCTTCTGCCAAGCCCACCCCCAGGCTCGTCTTCAAGAGGAAAGCGCTCAAGGACAAGATGAGCACGCCCATCACCACGGACGGCAACTTATTGGAATCCGCGCTTCCACCAAGAACGTCGGAGAGACACGAGATTGCAATGTCTGTAGCAGCCTGCGACACTCTGAACGTGGCACTGCAAAACGAACACGACTCACTTGAATCCCAGCGGGTCTTTATGCGCCAATCTTCCAGCGATGCGTCGCTTCCCGTCAGAGTTCGAAGATCTTCCCACTTTGCCCGCGCATGCGCCGGCGTCGTCGATGGGGGGCGGGTAGCTCCAGTTGATCCCACTGCTTCCCATGCGTGGTCAGAGACATCCCATCGCGCGGCTGCTGCATCGGACGTCGAGGATACACAGACTGTCAGACACGTATAACATCGACGATATCGCCCATCATGGTGCACGGTCATGACGACTCAGAGGAAAACTCATGCGTGGGCCCCCCTTGCCAAACAACTCGGTCTTCGCGCCATCAAGAGCGGCGAGGATGCGCCCCCCTCAGCCGCCGGGCAGTTGGAACGCCCCGCCCTCGTTGATTATTGGGCGCCTGTCTTCTCGAAGTGGGCCTCGTTCCAGTCCTGGCACAGCCGCCTACCTCGACAGATCCATGCAGCCGCGCTGCTTCGATGGCCCCCCGCCTCCCTCCCACGGCATGCTGGGGTCGGCCCTGGAGAAGTGTCACCCTCGAGGTCTGCGCCCGGGGTTGACGGCGCGCCTGCCACGGCTTCGGCAGCTCGCGAACGCGGCTTCCAGGTTATTCGGCAAACTCGCAGATTTTTCAAGTCGTCGGGCGACGCGCTTCAAACTTTACATCCAAAGGGATGCCGATCGACTCTGGCGACGATAACTTTGGCGTCGCCAGGTCCCCAGAGGCGGCGGCGCAGACTCTCGGATTCCGGAACGCAGGCGCGAAAGTCTCGTCGGCCACCTGGAACGCGACGCTCATCGTCGCGGCGCGGCCTCGCCCTTGAGAGGCAGCTCGCCACCGACATCCCCGAGCGGACTCGTCGGCGAGAGCAGCGTCGATCTTGCATCGAGCAAGACTCAGTCACCCCGCGTGCATCCGGCCCGTCTTTGGCCGGGCGCCCCCCAGCCTGAACCAAGGGTTCGCAATGGCGATATTTGAGCATTTGCGGTTGCCGCCTGCAGTTGCACTTGCCATCCGATCAGCGCACGTCGCCATCGGTGCTGCGGGCACGGTGGGCGGCACGTTTACTGCGGCGTTCCAGATCAGCTGCGGCGGCATCCATGGGCGCGCTTTGTCTGGTAGCCTCATCGCAGCAGCGACTTCACCATCTCTGGGGGGCCGGAGGCGCAGGATCGAACGTCGAGCCCACGGCGCTGTTCGCGCACGTCGACGCAGGCGTCATTCTCCTGGAGGCCATGGATCCCAGGTTTCTCGCGCGCGCGCGTGATGGCTGCGGCAGGAAAACGCACCAACCGCTGGCCCAAGCTCTCCCGGCGCGCGGTCGCTCCATTCCCCTGCGCCTCCCCCGCGAGCATTGCCGCGAAGGTTCAGGACCTCAGGACATCACCTAGTCAATCTCGCGGCAGTGGCGTTCGATCCGGGCGGGGGTCAGCTTCCCCATCTCGGGCCACGGCTTGGCCCGGCCGTTCGCCCGAACACGTCCCGGCCCAGCCTGCGGGCGAAAGTGCGCGGGCAGAGTCGCGGCGCCTGCCTCCGCGGCTGCTCCACCAGCGCTCGACGCTCTCAACGCTGATCAACTGCCTGGCCAGGGGCTTTCCCCGCGGCGAGTTACGTCGCGCAGCTCCTCCCCCCCGAGAACCTGCGCCACGAAAGACACGCATGTATTTGTCAAGCTTTTTCCGTCCTACTTGCGGGGCGCCATGAGGCGCGTCGATCGAATTTATTGCATCAGCCGGGGCGGCTTCAGAAGACGAGTTTGATTGCGCAACGCGGGCCATGCATGTCAGATCAATTGTACGCACTCGCCCCGAGCACGCGTCGCCGCCGGGCACGCTCCGCCAAGCGGCCGAGGAATTCATCGACCACGGTGCGCTCGGAGGTCCCGCTGGCAATTTGCCACCGTCACACTTGCTCCCTGACGCGCATGTGAAACACGTGAATGCAGCGATTTCGGCGGGCTCCCAGGAAGCAATGGCTGCGAAAAGCTCCGTCGGCGACCACCAAAGCTGGCTGCCTGCACGGAGCCCTGGGACAATCAAAACACGACACGACCGGGGATGAAAAACCGGTCCTGGGGAATCTGGGGGTCCGCATCTTAAACAATATGACGTCGGACGCCTGGGTCTTCCAAAAGCCAGAACCTGGATAAACCGATCCAGATCCGGAGTTCTTTGGAATGGCTGCGGCGCTGGGCATATCCTCCAGAGCCGCTTAGATCTCAGAGATCCCCGAAGCGCACAGAAAAAAATATAAATGGGCCACCCACAGGTTAGGTGGACAGCACATCGATGAGCGATTTTGCAGCCTCAACTGAGCATAGGCCCCCCCCGCCAGAGCATCAGCCAGACAAGTCGGGTTTGCATCCTCATGCCTTGCTAGGCTCTGGGCGCGCTTCGGCACCGCAACTGCCGCATCCACCCTTGGGTTTGGGGGAGGACGGGGAGAGGGGGGGCAGGAGGGGGAGCGAGGAGGAACAGGACGAGGAGGAGGAGGAGGAGGAGGAGGAACAGGACGAGGAGGAGGAGGAGGAGCAGGAGGAGGAGGAGGAGGAGGAAGGGTTTTTCTTGCGCTTTGCCCCGAAGCGATTGTCATCCTTGTTGCTGCTTTCCATGTATGCGACCGTTCTAGCTGAATGCCACAGTCTCCCAATCGAATTCCCGACGCGGAGATTTCCCAGGTGCTGCCACAGACGCGCGCTGAGGTATGGCGTGTCTCCTCGAGTCCAAGCTGAGGAACAGACGGCAAGCTGGACCAAGGCTGCGTGCCAGGAGGAGGAGGAGGAGGAGGAGGAGGAGGAGGAGGACGACGACGACGACGAGGACGAGGAGGAGGCGGAGGAGCAGCAGGAGGAGGAGGAGGAGGAGGAGGAGGAGGAGGAGGGGCAGGGGCGGGGGAGGAGGGGAAGGGTGGAGGAGGAGGGAGGAGGAGTGGGAGGAGGAGGAGGAGGAGGAGGAGGAGGAGGAGGAGGAGGAGGAGGAGGAGGAAGAGGACGACGAGGACGAAGACGAGGAGGAGGCAGCGTCACAAAGGAAGACGAGGAAGAGGAGGAGGAGGAGGAGGAGGAGGAGGAGGAGGAGGAGGAGTGAGGCAGAGGAGTCCTCCGCCCCGCTGGCCCCCACCAGCGCCCCGAACGCAGGGCCGCCCCGGCCGCCACGGCGGCTTCCGCGCCGCCCTTGCGCGGGCCCGACCTCGGGTCGGCGCCGGGCGGCGGCGGCGGCGGCCGGCCGCCGCCGAAGTGCCACTTTGGCGCGGCGACCACGGGAGCCCTGGGAGATCAAGGGGCAGCCTGGCGGTCAGGAACTTTTCTTCGCAAGTGGGGCTGGAGCAGACAAGGTCGGTCGGAGGATCGTGCCACATCGCCGATGAATTGGCGATGCAACTCGATGTGGAGCCAGATGTTCTCCACGCCAACGGTGCCGATGCTTCGCCGACGTCGCCGACGCATCGCCGATGCATCGGCGACGCATCGATGATGCGGTGCGATCCTCCGACCCCATCTACTCGGACCCGATCTCGGAGATCTCGAGTTAGGAGGGAATCGGCTGCGATAGTCTCGAGGTTCTCGGGCGTTGTCGGCGGTCTCTGCGGTTTTCTGGCCTCGGGGCGCTCTCCAGCATCTCTGCCTCGCCGTGAGCGTTCCAAGGGTGCCACAATCGACGCCCGAGGCTCGAGTTACGACCCGAAAAACAAGCGAAAAGAGGCAACGCTGGGGGGGAATAGGATCATGAGGGGATGCAGCGACCCCCACTCGCCCACTGGTCGCCGATAGGGGCCCGACAGCCCACCCCGCCCAGGAACGCGCGTCGCTGCAATCGGGGACCTATCGCCGATCTATCAGCGACGTATCGCTGGGTCCAGGTTGATGTTTGCCACCCTGGGCTAGTCCCCCTCGATCGCTGCCCCCTCGGGGAGATCAAGGGCGTCTTCGGGGTAGACGACGGCGACTACGACAGCGCAATTCTTGGATACCTGTTCTACTCTTCTGGAGCTTCTCAGTGCCACGGCTGGCGCGGCTCGGAGGAGCCCGGGGGCTGGTTTTCACCAGGTGTTGGTCGGAGGCGGGGCGGGGGAGTGAGGGGATGGGGGGGTCGGAAGAGTGAGTGGAGTTCGGGTTGGAAATCTGAGAAGGTGGTACGTGCCAAGATTGTTCAGGGGGTCCACCACGCCCCACATGTAATGGTGTTCCGCACGAGGGTTGCTCGACACTCTGGAATGAATGCGACGTGTCCTGAGCATATCGCATCATGACATCATCATTGTCCTACCGCATCATCACCATCATTATCATCAGCATCCTCTTCATCAACAGCAGCAACATCATCAGCAGCCTCAGCATCATAATCAGCATCGTTATCATACTTGTCACCTTCACCTTTATCATATTCATCATCACCATCAGTAACACCATCATATTCAGCTTCATCATCACCATCATCAGCATCAGCAGATCCATCGTCATCACAGTCATCATCATCATCATCATCATCATCATCGTTATTACCAGCATCATCATCAACGTCGTCATCAACATCATGACGATCATCATTCTAATCATCATCATCATCATCACCAACCTCATTACCAACATCATCATCATTAGCACCATCGTCGTTATCATCCCCACTGTTATCATCATCAGAACCATCATTATCTGCTCGAATGAAAATAAACAGATGGATGACCAGCGAAAATCGGATCTTCCTCGTGATGATCAGTTCGAACAACTGACAAGCAGATACACATTGTTGGAGGTCCGCTCGGATATTAGGCGAGGAGAAGGAGAACGACGAGGAGTCGCAGCAGGAAGAGGAGGGATACGAGGAGGATAACAATGACGACAAGGAGGATAACCAGGATGGGCAGGACGAGGACAAGGTGGAGGAGGAAGATGAGGTGCAAGAAAATAAGGACAGGGACGAGGAGGGTGAGTTGGAGGAGGAGGAGGAGGAGGAGGAGGAGGATGAGGTAGACGAGGACCACGATCCACTAGTGACTGCGTTAGGTTATGTCAGACTGGTCGCCTTAAAGTTGATTGTGCTGTACGTCGGTAGTTGTGCTGCTTCGGTGTGCTCGTACGTACCTCTTTTTTTTGTTCCGTCGAACAGACTCCCCTCATCGATCCTGCTCCTTATCATGCGGCGGCGGGACATTCAAGCAGATGTATCATCAAAGGCATCATCACCATCATCATCACCATCACCATCAGTCTCATCATTATTAACATCATCACCGTTATCAGTATCATCATGCTCATCCTCATCATCAGCAGCATCATCCTCACCATCATCATCAGCAGCATCATCATCGTCATCATCGTCATCATCGTCATCATCTTTACCGGAATCGTCATCAACCTCACGATCAGCATCATCACGACCATCTCATCAGCCGCATTTCATCAGCAACACCAGAATTGTTTCTATACGCATCTTTAGCATCCCCGTCATCATCACCACCATCGTCGGCATCATCATCATCATCATAATCATCATCATCATCATCATCATCATCATCATCATCATCATCATCATCATATTCATCATCATCATCATCAGCATCATCATCATCATCAGCATCATCATCATCATCATCATCATCACCATTATCATCGCAGTCCCCCCCACCCTCCATTTCCCTCCTCCATTTCCTCCTGTTTCTCCTCCTCCTCGTCATCCTCACCTCCCCCCTTGATACCATCACCGTAACCGTATCAGTCCTCCCCCTGCTCACATCACCGCCGCCAGTCGGGCAAGAAGACCCTAACGGGCGCGCCAGGTCGAGCGGGCGGGGCAGCCGAGCATTGTGCAACATCGAGCGGGGCCGCGGCTCCGGCGGGTCGGGTCGGGCGGGCGTACCCTCACGTCGGGAGCGGAAAAGAGGGGGGTGATGACTAGGGGGGGGGTATTTCATGGCGCGGGCCATGATTGTTCCCCAGGTTTCATGGCGCCTCTTCTCATTTCACTACGTCCCAGGCCCCCCCGCTGGGCCGCGCACATGCCGCCGGTCATGATTTGCACCCCCCCCTCTTGGACACCCCCCTCTTGGCCGCTCCCGATCACGGGCGGGACAGGCCGGGCGGGCGGGCCCCGACGGGCAGGTCTGCTCGGGCGGGCCTCGTCGAGCGGGCTGGACGCCAGAGAAGGGCGCAGCACCGAGCTGGCCAGCGAGCCGGGCCGGCGGGTCGGGTCGGGCCAAGCAGGCGGGACCCTGACGGGCGGGCCAGGACCAGCGGGTGGGGCATGGAGGCAGGAGGCATCCTCGACGGGGCGGGCCGCGCGGGCACGACCGGTGCACGGCGCCCAATGTTGAAGTCCAGACCCACGTGTTGCACAAGTTCACCGCCTGCGTGCAGTAGTGAGTTTCCAAAACTCCCGGTTCAAGAACGTCGAAGGTGGGCTCGCTAAACTAAAGATTGGAATATGGGACACTACAGTCTGCGGAGCTTGATATTGAATGCATGTCGAAACCAAACTTTAGCAGGGAGGCTCAAGACAGACTTGGTGTTTTGAACTTGAACGTTGGACTCTGGAACCCAGGGCCTCCGATTGGTGACGATTTGGAGCGCTCCAAGGAGAGGTGTGTTATCTTATCCCTTCGGGAGCACCCAAGTAGGGGTTTATGACCTAAGCGGCGCCAGGTAGATTAGGTGAGACACACCCTTGGAGCGCCTGAATGCGCGATTTGTCACCTAATCCAGTCGCTGTCGGGATTTGCTACCTAATCGGCTTCCGAGCGTCTGAGGTAGCAAACCTTTCTTGGGGCGATAGCATCTTCACCAATCGGAGGCCCTGGGTTTCAAAGTCCAACATTGAAGTTCAAACCGCCACTTTGAACTCGTACATCAATGTTGAAGTTATGGCTCAGTACTGGAGTTCGAACCCCTACAATCGACCGACGCTTCAACACAGAACCTCGCAGCTTGAAGCGTTCAATCTTTCAGTATTATGCTGGCGACTCCAATTCCTGCTTCATTCTGGAACTTCCGACGTTCAAAACAGGTACTGGAGGTAGTCGTTGAATTTTTGTCCATGCGTGGGCCCAGGTTTCAAAACTAGGCGCTGGGCGCCGGTTGTGCTAACGCTTTCCAAGGGTATGTAGCCTTGAATCCTTGCCTCTCGGCCCATGCCAGCCCCGGGCCGTGGGCAATGGCCTTCCAGTCTCAGCCTCGGTCTGGGCATCCGAGGGCGTGGCGTGCGCACCGCGCATCATTTCTCGATCCGGTCGCAGGGTATCTGGCCCCCTGCCGTCGAGGCTACCGGAGAAGGAGGACGCGGGAGGCAGGATGGAGGGAGGGAGGGAGGGAATTACAGGAGGGGCGGGGGAAGGAGGAAGAGGAGGCTCAGGAGGCAAACGAAGGGGAGAAGGAGGAGGAGGAGGAGGAGGAGGAGGAGGAGCTGAAGGAACAGGAGGAGGAGGAGGAGAGGGAGAGGGGGGGGGGCAGGAGCAAGAGGAGGAGGAGGAGGAGGAGGAGGAGGAGGAAGAAGAAGAATAATGACGCTGAAGCTTGCTTAACGCAAGAAGGAGCAGGAAGGAGGGGGGAGGAAAATGAGGAGAAGGAACAGGAGGAGCAGGAGAAGGAAGAGGAAGGAAGGGAGGAGGACGGAGGTGGAGGAGGAGTGGCATCGCTGTCTGGCCCCCTGCCCTCCGCGTGCCCCTCCCCTGCCCGAGAGCCCCCGGCCAGGACACGCGCCTCCCGTCCCCCCGTCGCCCAGCCACCGCTCGGCGCACCCTCCGCCCCCGGCGGCCGCTGCGCCGTGGGAGGGGCCGTGGCGGAGCAGGGGAGGGCTGTGGAGGGGCAGGGATGGAGGGGGGGAGGGAGGGAGGCTCCTCCTCCTCCTACTCCTCCTCCTCCTCCTCCTCCTCCTCCTCCTCCTCCTCCTCCTCCTCCTCCTGCCTCCTCCTCCTCCTCCATGGCTGTTTTCCTGGTATCCATTTTGGCACAAGCCATTTTGGCTCAAGTGGGAACAGGTCCCATCTGAGCGGGCAGCTCTCCGCTGAGGGCAATCTGGGCGTTGTGCCCAGGTGGACAATTCACGCCAATTTGGCACCACGTTTCCTTTTTTCTTTGCAGGTTCTGGGGCCGCCATGGATACTGCAACGATTCAGAACGTGGTTGCGCAGGCCATTGCGGAGGCCATGGCCACTACCCAGGCGTCCATCGTTGCCAGTGTTGACCAGAGGCTCGCCGAGATCAATACCTCGCTGCGCACGCTCAACCAAGCGGTAACCCAACACCCAGCAGCTCTCGATGCCCAGCGCATTTCACTGCAGAACGTGATTTCGCAAGTGAACGACCTCGTCGCTCGCAACGCGGCGGTGGAGCAACATGTCAATGCCCCGCCTGCGGCATCCACTGCATCGACTGCCACTGGGCACAGTTTTGCGACCACGCACATGACGGAGCGAGACCAAAGGCGACGCGGACAGGACGCCATCCCCGACTCCAACAATTGCCTCAAGTGCATTGGCATTTTTCCACGGCCTGTACTGCAGTCGGTGCGCCAGGCCCATTGGGAAGCGCTGGCGTCCCGCTTCCCTCAGTACCTCAATGAGGGGGTTAGTTACCCCGACATCCCACGCGGTTCGCCAATCTTGCAGTCTGCTCTTCGAGTCCCCCAGGGTTGTTGCTGACTTCGCTCGAGATGCCAATCACGTTGGGATGACTTGGGTTGATCCGAGGAACCAGTCTCAACATGCCTTGCGAGTTCGCTCAGATCTCCCCTCGGATGCCCGCGAGACGAAGCGGGCATTTCACCACCGATGGAGGCCTATGAAGGCGCTGCTGATGAGGTCGCAGCGTTGGGATCCGCCCACCTGCAGGCTCGGCGTCGACGGGTTCAAGGGCGCGCTGCGCCTCTCCACGGACACTGACGCATGGCACCTGGTCACCTCCAAGAAGGAGACCATGCGCGACGGGGTGGAGTGCTACCACTTCGACGCCAACATCCCCGAGTGCCAGGATTGGGGCATCCCCGACCAGGAAGTGCACCATGTGATAGAGCAGGCCAAGGTAGCCGCCAAGCAGCCCACCTTCACCTAGGAGACACTGCTCATGACACGAAGACCTTCAGCGACTTCGCCACCTGTAGCCAGCAGAACTGCGAGGGGCAGATCTACTCTGGCGGGCAGGTCGACTCCCACTACGCGTAGTAGGAGCTGATCCTGCTCCTCATCTTCATCCGCGTCCTCTGCGTGATCCGCGTCCTCTGCGTTATCGGCCTCTTCTGCTTCTTCCACCGCGTTTTCCTCTTCCGCCGCGGGTCATTCTTTCTCCTCGGCTTCTTCTTCTTCCTCCCACCACCAGCATGTACATACTCAACCTGTCTTCCCTAAGAGTCGCCTAGTGATCCTACGTTGGAACTGTCATACGCTGTTCGGCTCGGTCGATGGGGATCTCGACACCCAAAGGCTTACTTACTCCTGTACTAAAAGGCTTGCTGACACATGTGACATTCTGGCCCTCCAGGGAACCCATGGACATCCTGGGGGCTTCACTACCCTTACCAAGGACTTTAAAACTTATCGTAATTTCGGCTCGTTCTGTCGGCATGTGGGCAAAGAGGGAGCGATCACTTCGGTCTCTCGGACGAGACTGATGATGCCGATCAAACACAAACTTCTCCCTCCTGCTTTTCCTACCTCTATTCTTGGAATTTCCATTACCTGGAACGCGGGGAGGCGCGTCTGCAGATACCGAATGGCGTTGAGCCCGGAGGAAGACGGAGGAATGGAAAGGACGTGGGCGACAACGATGAGAAAGGGCTCGGATTCAGAAAAGTGGCCCGCGCTGGGGCGAGAGCGCCATTCTGAACGGCGGGAACAAAGCCGCGATCCTAAACTGAGACCCTCGCTGCAGTGGGATCACCATTTTTGTAAGGTCCGAGAACGTTCGGATTGGAACAACACATCGTAAGCCACAAACAGACAAACACACAAACAAACAAAGAAATAAACAATAAAACGAGTCAGACCCACCCTGTGTGTAAAAAGCCATACGCGGAGGGGGGCACCTGACTCTCAGGCATCTTCGGTGGAGAGAGGGGGGTAGTACTCATATGCAGTAATTGCAGAGGTGGTGGCGGAGGAAAGATCAAGACATCAAGGTGAGTGTCGAGCACACTTGTTTTTTCCTAATGACCAGCCCCCAAGCTTTATACACCGCGGATGCCATGGATTCCGAGTCGTGGCCACTAAATTGCAGTTGGTAGGCTCCAATAGCCCGGGTGGCATGAGGTCATCGGCGTCCGAAGGTGTGTTTGGGTTGTGTTCGTGAGGGGCCAGCGTAGAGGTGCCGTTGTCAGGTCAATCGGGTGATGCTGCTTTCAGTGCCCAAACGCGCGGAGGATGGCGATCAGCAACAGCAGCCGCAGAAAAATGGGCAGGAGGAGTTGGAGGATAGAGGTCAGGGACGGGAAGGGTTAAGAGGGGCCGTCTGGGTGGGGAGCAGACATACGCGAACACTGTGTTCCACACGCCAATCATAAGAGAGGTGCGAGAGATGATAGCACGGAGCCGCAACGCATACCACAATGACAGACATTGGAATAGCAGAGAGAGAGAGGGGTGGGAAAGGGAGAGATAGAGGAGTGGTGGACGAGAGGGGAGAGAGGAGAGAGCACTGACATATCTCTCGCTGAGTGCCCCTAGGAATCCAAGCGTTGCGGGGGAAACGCTGAAGTTGCAGCACGACGTCTTTATGCGATCGGCAGTTCGCTACCAGCACAGCGCCATCTGCAGCCATTCAGCTGGTGGCCTCGTCATGAGTTGATCTTGGCGATTACCTGAGAGACGGAGGGGAGACGGAGCCAGACCTACGCCGAGTGCACCCACGCTCTTCCGAGCCATATCCTTACTCGCCAGCAGGTCGGTTGCGAACAACCGGGGGGGCGTCAGAGTAGCAGCCAGCGAGGTTGGAGAGGCAGGTCGAGGAGAAAAGTGAGGTGAAGAAGAGGACGTGGAGAAAGTACTGGTGAGGGGAAAGAGGAGGAGGATGGAGAGGAGGGGGATGAGGAGGAAGAGGAGGAGGAGGAGGGGAACGAGGGGGGAGGAGGGGATGAGGAAGAAGGGGACGGAGAGGATGCGGAACGAAGGGGAGGTGGATGAGGGAGCAGGACGAGGGGGGGAAGAAGGGCTGGTCAGCATGGAGCAGAGGGGGCACAGCAAAGCAGGGGAGGGGCTGGCCCGAGTGCAGCAGTGTTGCGGCGTGCCTCTTCGTGTGCACCGAGCGTCGGGTGCCGTGTTCCTGCGCACGCGGGAGGTGTTCGGGGGCAGCCGCCGGCTCCTCCTCCTCCTCCTCTTCCTCCTCCTCCTCCTCCTCCTCCTCCTCCTTTGGACTGGGTGTTTTTGAGGGGCCAGCAGCGGCCTGGCGAGTGTGGCGTGCCATGCGTCCCTGCGTGCACCGTGGTCCAGCTCAGGATTGGAACACGAAATCAGCTGGCATTTAGTCAACCCGCATAGTAAAGGATGGGCAACATTCCCAAGGGTACCCCTGCATCCTTGCCTCCTCGGTCCATTCTTCGCCACATTCGCTGGCCGCGCCCCGCTCGAAAAGCTTCCGAAATGGGCGTCCAAGGCCCTTGCATCCTTATCGCGCATCCTTACTATGATTGCCTATGATCAGGCGATCGCCAACATGGATCAAGGGGGCGTGGATTGGCGACGGGTCCCATTTCCATGGGAAATCGCAGATTCCCGCCGCCGAACGAGGCAGCATTGGCCGCATTCTGGGGAGGGCATGTCCCCCGATCCATGGATTTGGCGACCGCGCGCCGAGTCCATGGATAGCTAATCCATGTTTGCGCGCCCCCAATATGAGCACATGTGCATCGCCACACTCGGTGTAGTACTCAATGGCTCTAGCGCGTTCAGGTCGGGTGGCCTCCTGCCCGTGGCCAGAGGTCCACGATTGTTGACTTGGCTAGTCGCTACTCGCGTAGTTTGCGCTCGCTTTCCGCGCATCAGTGCTCACGCTGTTGGTTGTGCGTGTGTAGTTGCGTGTGCGTCTGCGCATGTACCTGTGTATGGTTCGGAATTGGGCTGCGTTTCTTGACCTCGTGGGTCCTACCTTGTCAAACGTTTGTGTCGTTGGCAGCTCCAAGAAGAGCTCTCAGCAGTGCTCGTGCGCACCAGCGAGGGCGCACTATGGACGGTAAATCGCCGCACGGAAACACGACGCGGAGCATGTGAGAGCGGCAGCAGATTGGTTGGTAGACGACGAAGGGAGGATCAGACGGAACAAAGCCAGGAAAAGATGAAGCACGAAGGCAAAGATGAGAATGAACGCGGGTGGGATTCACGATCAACAAGGCGGAAGGGGGTTGCCAGACGTTGTGTTTGTTTGAGGGATGGTGCGTGCCGCTTTGGAGACTTCGGTTGTTGCCAAAGTCACGCGGGGTCGGTCACAGAAAAGTTGGGGCCGCAGTCGGAAGAGCAGTGGATGAGCCTTTCAGCGGGGGGGGGAGTCCGTGCGAACGAAGGTCCAGCATCATTCATCTCTCACTGAGGCCGAATAGGCAGGCCCTGGCCATACGTTTCATCATCTGGTCAGGCGCGTTCGGCGCAGCCGGTCTTCAGAATTCAGATGTAGTGTATGCTCTGCTGCTTTGGCTATTGCTGCGTGTGCTGCCGAGATGCGTCCGAGGGCCATACGGCGATTACCAGGGCGTGCGGTACGTTTGGACATTCGATGGCGCAGCACATGGTTTGATGGCGTCATTTGCACATCTCTCGCTCATCACTCGATGTAGCCATCACGCTCCAGGCCCAAAGTGGCGCACTCCTACATTGCATCTCTGCCATGTTCCAGCGAGCTCTGCATCGGAATTCGGCCATGCACATCTGATAACGTTGGCGGCGGAGCTCGCCAGGATGTGCTGCGTCCCTCGCGTGTAGTGCGGGGTTGGCACCTGGATCCGGCTTTGGCGTCGCACTTTTCAGAAGTGGCAGGCGCATTCACGGCCACGTGCACGTATGAAGGTGATGGCATGATTCCAGACAGATGGGATGGGTGACAGCCGTCCAGCAGGCTATGGGACGAGTAAACTGTGCAGCCGCAATAGGCAATGGCAATGATCAGTAGTCCGACGCCACAGTCGCCGGCCATTGAGTGCGTTGAGTTTGCGATTGGCCGCCGGAGGCGTTGATTAAGGAAAACGGTGGACGCTTCGCGTGGCCCCAGCAGTCCATGCAGAGGAGAGGGAAGCGCAGGAATATTCAATGGAACAGACCAGGGGGAGCCAGCCGTCAAGCCCAAGCTCGGAAGCGAGCGATTAATGCCAAGGAGTGGAGTTTTGCTGAGCCTGCCGTCGAAGAATGCGGAGGAGGATGTGGAGGATTATGTGGAGGATCAAGTGGGAAAAGGGGAAGAGGGAGGAGGATGAAGAGGGAGTTGGGAGATGGAGGAAGAGCAAGAGCAGGAGGAGGATGGAGGAGGAAGGGGCGCCGACGACGACATTATCGAGGAGGAGGACGATGACGACGACGGCAAGATTCAACCATGCAGACATCTGTGAACCTTTCGCCCTAAGAGTTCATTGTAGGCTTCACGGGGGCACATTGGAACCCTCTTTGGAGGCACGTTTGGAGGCGTTCGGTGCCCTCTTGAGGCCTTTGTGTGGACTCTGGGCCCTCTGAGCGCCACCTTTGAGGGCATAGATCAAAGAAGAGAGTTCCTGAAGTTGGCTTGCCCCGATGGACAGAGCCCGAAATACCGTCCAGTGTACGCCTCTTTGAGCGCTCCTGAGTGGGCTCTTGGGCGCTCGTTGGGCCGTAGTGGATTTGCCGCACGGCCAGTGGCGACGACCGTGGAAGATGACCCTCATGATGCAGGAGGTGTTCGTTGGTGTTTGGGAAGGCTGTGAGGCTCCCAAGAAGTTTCCGAGCGTGCTGCTAGAGAGCTTCGCGATGCCAAAAGTTTTCGAAATGGAATCCAACGAGGAGAAGGGGAACAAGGAGAAACGAAGGAGGAGGAGGAGGTGGAGATTCTTGGGGGCCCGTCGTGGGTTATCTTGGAATTGGATTGCCGAAGGCGCTCCCCAAAACAGAAGGGGGGAGTGCATTCTGACCCAGGACCCCCCCCCCCCTGGGACACCCCCGCACGCCTCTTTGGGCGCTCTTCGGGGGGCTCTGGGGCCGTGTTCGGCATCTACCTCCTCCTCCTCTTCCTCCTCCCCCTCCTCCTCCACCCCTGTCTCCTCTCCCCCCTCCTCCTCCCACTCCTCCTCTTCGCGTTCCAGGTCAGGACGGAGGGGGGAGGAAGAGGGAGGAGGAGTGGGGAGGATTTGCGCCTTTCACTGAAAGATCATCAAGAAATCACCGCACGCTTAAAAGTGAGAGCCAGCCCGTGCATTTAATACACGAAGGCACGTTCAACAACAAGCAGGAACCCGTACCATTACAACACTTGCGTAGAAACATGTGGCACGTAGAAGAACAAATAAATTCGTACGAATAAAAACACATAGCTTGGCGAAAGTCACAACCATTCGCAGATCTGAGCACCGTCGCTGTAACTATGCACCACATTCGGAGGAGCTCCCTATGGGGTTACGACAAGTTCGAGGGGTGTGCCGAAATGGGTGCGGTGGGCGCATGCGAGCGCAGCCATTGGGGCCGTCGGTGGAGCTTCCGAGGGGCGTGCCATAATGGGTATGTGTGAGGGGTGTGCCAACATGGATGCGGTGGGCGCTTGCGAACGCAGCTACCAGGGCCGTCGGTGGAGCCCCATGTGGGACCGCGAAACGTGTGAGGGGTGTGCCGAATATTTGTGCGATGCGCGTTTGCGAACGCAGCCACTGGGGCCGTGGGTAAGCTCCATACGGGACCACAAGACGTGTGAAGGGTATGCCAAAGTAGGTGCGGTGGGCGCATGCGAACGCAGGCATTGGGGCCGTCGGTGTCCCTGTGGGGCCACGAAACGTGTGAGGGGCATGCCAAAATGGATGCGGTGGGCGCATGCGAACGCAGGCATTGGGGCCGTCGGTGGAGCTCCCTGCAACGTGTGAGGCGTGTGCCAGGATAGGTGCGGTGGGCGCATGCGAGCGCAGCCACGGGGGCCGTCGGTGGAGCTCTCTATGGGGCTACGAAACGTGTGAGGGGTGTGCCAACATGGATGCGGTGGGAGCATGCAAACGCAGCCGCTGGGGCCGTCGGTGGATCGGCCTAGGGGGCCACGAAACGTGTGAGGGGTGTGCCAGAATTGGTTCGGAGGGCGCATGCCAACGCAGCCATTTGGGCCGTCGGTGGAGCTCCCTGCAACGTGTGAGGGGTGTACCAACATGGGTGCGGTGGGCGCATGCGAATGCTGCCACTGGGGCTTTCGGTGGAGCTCCCTATGGGGCAAGGTGGCGGGCCTTCTTCTTTTCAAAACGAGGACCCCACACCACAGCATGGATGGGAGTAAGGAATACACGACATCCGTACAAACAAAATGATAAGAAAACGTTTCTGGGTGCACGAACCGTGTGGTTTCCTTTGTACCCTCATAGGGGTCGTTTGCTTTCTGCTGTGTTGTTATCTGGTTGTTGGGTACCCTCACAGTTGTTGGTTGGCTGGAGAGACCCTGAGGAAGCCCGGAGGCCCGAAAACAATCGATTTGCTCACACTTCCTTGCGTTGGGATCTCGTGTTGAATAGAGCGCTGCGGTCGCGACTCCTCCCACGGCCCTCCCCGTTCTTCCTGCCTCCGAACTCCTGCCGTCTGCGTCCTGTTTCATCCCTCCTGTCTCCTACCTTCTCCTCCCTCCTACTTTTTCGCGGGCTCACTGGTGACACATAGGAGTAGCGGAGTACGCGCATCCACATGGCACCTCGCCGCTCTGGTTACGAGTTGCGCCATTGTCGAAACTTTTACGGGGCCCCCAGGAGGCATGGCGGAGAAGCGGAGTACGCGCATCCAGACGGGAGCGGGGGGCAGTCCCCATGGGTAGCTGCGAACTGTGCAACCGTCGCCCGTTTCGTGGGCTCCTGGGAGGCATGGCGGAGCAGCGGAGTGCGCGCATGCACAGGGGACCTCGCAGCTGCCTGGGTGGCTGCGAACTGCGCAACCGTCGCCACGCACCGTGGGCTCCTGGGAGGCATGACGGAGAAGCGGAGTGCGGGCATGCACAGGGGACCTCGCAGCTGCCTGGGTGGCTGCGAACTGTGCAACCGTCGCCACGCACCGTGGGCTCCTGGGAGGCATGGCGGAGAAGCGGAGCGCGCGCATCCACACGGGGCTTCGCAGCTGCCGGCGTGGTTGCGAACTGTGCAACCGTCGCCATTGTCGTGGGTTCCTGGGATGCACGGCGGAGGAGGGGAGTACGCGCATCCGTTCGGACCTCGCAGCTCCATGGGTGGCTGCGGACTGCGCAACCATCGCCAGTTTCGCGGGCTCGCGGGAGGCACGGCGGATTAGCGAAGAACGCGCACGACCAGACCTTGCAGCTGCCTGTGTGGCTGCGAACTGCGCAACCGTCGCCACTAATTTCGTGGGTTCCTGGGAGGCACGGCGGAGTAGCGAAGAACGCGCACGACCGGACCTTGCAGCTGCCCGTGTGGTTGCGAACTGCGCAACCGTCGCCACTTTCGTGGGTTCCTGGGACGCACGGCGGGGGGAGCTCGCGCATCCGCACGGGACCTCGCAGCTGCCTGGGTGGTTGCGAACTGCGCAACCGTCGCCACTTTCCGTGGGCTACTGGGTGGCACGGCGGAGTAGCGGAGCATGCGCATCCTGACCAGGCAGCTCCCTGGGCGGCTGCGAATTGTGCAACCGTCGCCACTCTCGTGGACTTCGTGTTCGGCCCTACATTCACGCTGATCGCTTGCGCCAAATGGTCCCTCGCCGAGAACATGTCCACGAGGATCCACGCGGCGACCACGTGCGTCAGGGAAGCGCAGATGGGCATCTGCGAGCACGGGACCAAAGGGATGAGACCCCAGGCGAATGCCTGCACGCGTCTTGAGAACATCTGGTGTGACCTGAGACAGTTTGTGATCGAAGAGACGAGCATGGTGTCACCGAACATGTACAACCTGCTGCTGTACCCCGCCTTCCAAGCCAGGCGCGCCCAGTGCAACTTGGAAGAGGCGAACTACCAGAAACCCTCCTGCCCCGATCGTGATCTACCTGTGGGACTTCCTGCAGCTGACACCGAATGGGTCCGGGACATCGTTGCTGTCTGACTTGCAACAGGTGGTGGCCGCCGATTTCAGGAGGGAGAGCCGCCGATTGAGCATCAGCAGGTTAGGAAATCCTTCTGCAACACGCCCTTGTGCTGACAGCTCCACCAGCCGCTTCAAAGACGACCGCCTCGCGAAGCTTGTGAACTGAATGAGGAAGCAACGAAAGGGCAGGGTGCCCGCCAGTGTCCTAGATACGCGGAGCCGCATCGAGGTGAGGACCGGCGGCCCGAGGCTCACCGAGGAGTGGTTCCAGACGAGCTAAAGCCCGCTTGGTTCTGGAAAGGAGTAGCTCGCTGGATGATGACGCGCGCTGAGATGGACGCGCAGACGCTCGGGCAAGTTCTCTACCTCGCGCAGGCCCCCGACGGATCCTCGCCCCCGCTGCCAGTGGACATGACAGCCAAGCTGATGAATCAGATCAACCCAAGCATGACCAAGCATGACGGGCGGCACGCACGGGATGTTGCCGCGGCACTGAGGCATGCGAGTTCGCCTGCTGGAGCACCTGGACCTAAAGCGGGAGCTGGTCAAGGACGCCGAGGGCGGGGCTTGCACGCGGTTGCCAACCCTCTCGGCGCAGGGGAAGTGCAACAGGCGAAGGCTGAGAACCGCCCCGCATACTTGTAGTACTCGCCTACCAGCGCGTGGGTCCGCATGGACAAGTACAAAGACGCCCTTTGCTGCGACCGGCTCACCGGGCGCGCGGAGAGGTCGACGTTTCAGACGCGGCGA